TGTATGTTGGGACATCAGTCGGGATTGGGAGTTCATACATATAATTATAATACATGTTAAGCTGCTCTACCAAGCGAGCTTCACGTACCGAAGGATCTAACAAACATGCATCTAAATGTGTATCAGGAATGAAATAATAATATTTCAACCATTTCTTTAACATTTCCTCAACTAAATAGTCATATTTATTAAAATTTATGTTGTAAAGATCCTTGAAAGCCCACATTATGGTTATAGCTTGACCTAACACAAGCTGAGCAGTAGGATAATAAACACCAGAAAGCATGTTAGTGGATTTTGAAATGTTTCAAAAAATTGAATAAGTGCATTACAGTTCTCTCAATCTCTTGTTGACACTCGGACATCACAGTCCTTACGGTTTGAATGGTTAAAAAAATCATGCAATTGTGTCATAAACGGAACCGTGTCACTCAACATTTTAAATGTTGAGTTCCACCGGTTAGGAACGTCGGGTTGAAATTTTTTAGGTTTCACCCTTTGATCTTTACAAAAACGTCCCCATGCTTTCATTTCATGGGGACGTTTATGTAAATAATTAACAGCGTCCCTAATTGGCGTGACCGAATCTTTAAAAGTATGATAACCAGCTTGTACACAGAGATTTAAGACATGACATATACAACGAATATGAAAAAATCTTCTGCCGCAAATTGGAGTGCAAATATCGGTAAGTTCACGTATAGATGCAGTATTTGCAGTAGCATCATCAAACGAAATGGAAAACACTTTTTTACCTATTTGATATTTATCCAAAATTTTTGAAATTAAACGAGCAATATTAGAAGCAGTGTGTCGTTCATGAAATGCAACATAAGCAATTAAACGTTTTTGTAAACTCCAATTTTCATCTATCCAATGACAAGTAATTCCCAAATAGAAATTATTTTGCCCATGATCAGACCAGATATCAGCACAAATGGATACTCTATGATTTAAAGATTTAAAAGTTTCTTGCAAAATTACTTTTTTTTCCGCCATTATTTTTCGAATATCGCGAGTAAGAGTAGTACGTGGAACCCGGTGGGCAGCCGAATTCAAAGCCATTTGAGCAAAATGTTCATATAAATCACTATCACCAAAGCTAAACGGAAGAGATGAAGCAGAAACAAATTCAGCTAAATGGCGTCGATGATTTTCATGTGAGTACTGAAATAAAGTTGGCGTACCTGTACCAATCGTGGCTGATGCAGCGCTACTACTTGGGAGTTGCGTCTGTGCTCTGTCAATTCCCAATTTTGTCGGATGAACCCTCTCTAAGTGTCGTTTCAACGATCCGTACCCATCGCCTTTTTTGAAATGGTATTGCTTCTTGTCGTTCGCCGGGCAGTAGTTGCAAACAGCTAAAAAGTGATTCTCACCTCTTGTCGAATTGGCCACCTTCGTGTAATGTTGTTTGAATATGGCAGATGCCGGTCTGGCACGGGCGAAGGCAGAGGCTAGGTGGCCCGGGTCCGGGACCTTCGGGTCTGGCTGTTGCTGTTGCGTCGGTTGCTGAACCTCCGGCGGGGACTCTCCAAATATATCATCGAAATGGTCGTGATACGGTTGCTGTTGCTCTTGTTGCTCAGGCTGAATTGAGCCAAACATGCGCTCGATCGTCGCCTCATCAATGTCATCGGCGACACCGGGAATATCCACATGTATCGATGGACTCGCAAATTCCGGCAATGGAGATCTCGACGAAGATGGGCCGGTGCCGATATTTCTACGTTTCTGTCCGAAATTCGAACCACGACCACCACGAGAGCTTGACATTTTATAATTTAAAGAGTAAAAAATAAATTGGGGAAAATTATATAGAAATATAAAATATGATGAAAAAAAATAAATGAAAAGATGTGGTATTTTTTTTTTTCGAATTTTTATTTATTGTTTTTTTTCGAATTTTTTTTCGGTATTTTTTTTTTTCAAAACCGAACACAAAACTAATAAGTAAAAACCGATCACTAAAAACCGAGTGAGAAGAATATAGAGTAAAAGAATAGAGATTAGAGAGAAGAGAGAATGAGAATGTGATTGTGTGAAAAATGTGGAGGGGGAGGGGGGTTTTTTATAGGGAAAATTTGGGAAATTTTTTAAATTTTTTCCCAATTTTTTGATTTTTTTTTTTATTTCGTGGACCCGCCGGGTCCGGGTCGTACCGGCGGGTCGGGCGGGCCAAAATTTTGGGCCGTTGGATCCCAACGGTCAATTCCGATCCAACGGCCGATTTTAATTTTTTTTTTTTGGACGGTTGGGCCCATGGACCCGGCCCGAACCGTGGTCCAACCAGGCCCAACGGATATCTTACGCACGTATGGGCTGTGGCAGGTCCTGACACCGGGTTGGTCTGGGCCGATCCGGTTGACCCGGCCCGACCCGGCATATATAATATAAAAATAAAATAAAATAAAGGACATAACCGTTGTCGGCGGTTCGCCCGTGGCCCGACCCGGCCCGGACCGGACCGCCGGTGCAAATTTTTTTTTTTCTGGAACCGGGACCGAACCGCGGCCCTTGCAGTTCGGTCCAACGGACCGGCCCGAATATGGCCGGTTACGGGCCGGTCCGGGCCGGTTTGGTATCGGTTCGCGGTCCGGGCCACAGGCCGGTTCGGCCCGTGGCCATGTCTACTATCATTTCACATCATTTTTCTTTTACTTTTACATTAAATTAATTTTTAAATATTATTTTAATATAAAATCAAAAATCTCACTAATTACTAATTATTCATATTTTTTAAATTAACTCTAATTAATAAGAAAAAATTCATTTTGAACCAATTTATTTGTAAACAAGCACGCCTATGCACCCTTGACCACCACCACCTCCTCCCACCAAAATCCCCAAATCAGCAGCGCAGAACCTATCGAAATTGCCCTAAACAAACCCATATATGGAGAAATTGAGACTGAAATCGAGGAGGATTTCAAGGAGCACCACCGGATAATCTAGAAGCCATTGTCGCCCCGTCGGACGATGGCGGAGACATGGATGAAATCAGACCAGCCGACGACTCTCATTTCCAGACTCGCAAAATCCGGTCGGAATAAACACGAATATCAGTGAAACTGTGGAAGAAAAGGTAGAGAGCTCGAGCAATCCAAAACCCATGAAGCACCACATAGATCTCCTCGCCCATGCCCACGCAAAGAAGACTTCCGGCGGGTGAGGTTTCTGGCAATTTAATTTGACCGTCTCTTTTCTTCCCTTCCAAATTGATCTCTTTTTTCCTTTTTTTTTTTTAATTTTTTTTTTCCACATGGTTGGGGTTCTTATGCCACAACAACATAAAAAATTTAGGAAATTTGTTACCTAAACTGCAGCAAAATTTTGAATTAAAGTACTCAATTAACAATATACTACTACGTTGGACTATTTTGTGCAGGTGGTAAGGTAACAAAATGGACAAAAAATGCATTTCAGCCTTATTTGTTTGTATATTTTTTAATCTATACTTATATTAAAGAGGTACTATTTACCAAATTAAGTTGTAAGAAAAGTCAACAGCATTTATTGCATTACTATCCTTATTATACTATATAAAAAAATATTCTATTTACTACATTTACTATTCAGAAAAGTCAAGTGCATTAAATGTCATTACTATTTTGGTATTATAATATTTTATTTATTTAATTTATTTATTTATTTGTTTTATTTTAAAAAGGTAAGTATAATAAAAAGATTTTAATAATAAAAAAATCAAATACCAAATAAAATGTACACTTTGACTTATTTGATTATATTTGGTATTTGATTATAGCAAATATATTCTTATTTAGTATATACATTAAATACTTACTAAAGTATTTATTTGTTTTATTTGTCAAAGTTAAGTATAGATTTGTTTATATTATCAAATCATAAAAAAATATTAAATCCATATTGTAAAAAAAAAAAAAATACATATAATTTTATAACAATTCTACTACACTATTTAACAATATTTTTTTTATTATATAATAAAATAATAATTAAATATTATATGGTGAACAACAATAAGTAAAACTGTTACTTTCTCTTATATTAAGGGATAAATGTATATGCTAAAATTAAATTTTTATTAGTATAAATGTTTTAGTGAGATAATATATTAATTATTTTACAAGCTAGCCCTAACATGCTCATATTTAATGTCTTTTAAATGTCTTAAAAGATGTAGAATAAAAACTTATAATAACTCTATTGTTTTTTAGACTTAAACGTTGATTAAACGTTGATTAAAAGGGATAAAAATTCCTAATTTTTTAGACTTAAACGTGACATCATAGATTGAGAGTTTATATTTAGTAAAATTCCTAATTGTAATAAAAAAAATTATTTTTTGCTATATTTTAGAATATCTTTCAATTCATTATAAAAAAAAAGAAAAAAAAAACTACAATGAAAAAAGCAAGTCAACTATATATGGATTTGTTGTACTTCTCAAATCACATTCACAATTTGGCTACAAGAAAAAGAAACTTATTGATTAAAATATTATTTTGTCAGTAGTCTTAGTGTACAAGAGACTTTAAGACTCCACTTGAATATTATAAAACTTTTATTGAACATTGTACAATTTTTTGCGTATTATAAACTTTTATTGAATATTGCACAGTATAATATAATATTCTCCAAATAAATATATTTCGTATCCGTACATTTTTCTTTATTCATGTATATAATTATAAGAATAATAAAAAAAAATCGAAAAACTGTAATAAATAAAACTAATGCAACAAACCTTCCCTATTCCCAATCCCAAAGGCGGCATAATATCCGCATCTGCGTCTTGTGTATATAGATACACAACTCGTTTCCTCCACAGTATATAGATACAGAGAGTATGTGTATATATCAGTCTCATCCACAACTCGTTTCCTCCACAGTAAAAAGATTTCATAATTACCTCTGCCCTCAAATTTCCACCTCCACCAATCACCCAAGGGAGCTCCAAAAGGGCCTAGATATTTTTTTCTTCACATCAAGCTATTAATTTCGCAAAAAATTGAAGAATGTTGTGTTTCAAGAATAAAGTTTCTTCCTTTCTGATTCTGACAACGTTAACCATGGTGTCTTTCTCGCTCTTTGCGTCGCCAGGTGAGTTCTCTCTGTTTTACATCAATTAGTGGGTGGTTGTTCTGATATGAGTCCTTGTTTGCAAGTGATTCTTTTTCCTCTTTGTTCCTTTTCTTTAAAAGAATTGTTGTCTTGAATCTTGATATGCTTAGCAGGAGAGGCCCAGAACGATGTCGTTCCAAAGGAAACTCAGAGGCCTGTCTTGGAAGGTTCGAACTCAAGTGATTTATTGTTGGCTAGGGAAAGAACGCGCAGACAAGACCCACTTGAGGATCACCGTTATTACAACGGGGGTTGGAATATCAGTAATGAACATTACATTTATGTAAGTTTTCATTCTTCCATGTGTACCTTTTTAAATTCTCGCACCATTTGACTTCTTTTCGTGTGAATGGAGACATTTTTATTGGAGTATAAAATGTATTTACTCTTTTATGTGAAACACACTTTTATATTGAGTAGCAACTTTACATATATTTAGGCTAAAATAAATAGGAAATTAGGGTACTTTTACACTAAGGGGGTGTATTCAATTAGGACTTTTTAAAATAGATGACTTTTGTGGACTTTATACAACTTTAAGGTGGACTTTGTGGACTTTACTTACCTGATAATGATAATAGAGTTTGCAAACTAACAAAAAATTTATATGGCCTTAAACAAGCATCTAGGCAATGGTTTTACAAATTAACTACTTGTTTGTTTACATATTATGATTTTAAACAATCCACATCATTATTTGTTTATTCTACTTATGACTTCATCTTAGTACTTCTTGTTTATGTAGATGATATCATTGTAACAGGAAATATTTAGGATGCTATTACCAAAATTAAACTTCATATTGATATATGTTTCACTATAAAGGACTTAGGAATTTTAAAATATATACTTGTCTAGAAGTTGCTCATTCATATAGTGGTATTCACTTATGTCAAAGAAAATATGCCTTGGATATTTTAAAGGATACTGGTCACTTAGCTTGCAAACCTACTTCTGCACCCATGGATTCTAACTTAAAGTTAACTGCCACAAATGATGCTAAAAATATTAATATTGTTGCTTCTGTTTATAGAAAATTGATAGGCATATTGTTGTATCTCACTATAACTAGACCTGAGTTGACTCATACTGTTCAATCTTTAAGTCAATTAGTCTTCATATCTGAGTTGATAAAACATATTATCTTTTGTGGCAAGTGATTTGGGATTCATTCCATAATTCGAATTCGGACACTGCAATTTTTTTCCTTATGTCCTTTTATTTTCTTTCTCTCTGTCTCTCTCGGTTGGATGTAGCAAAATGTTAGAACTGCAGCCTTTGTATGATGCTTTGCATTTAAACCTACCATGATAATTTTCATTGGGAGGGTTCTTGCTTTGTCTCTGTTGTGTTTTCAATGCAGTCTGTGTTTTACACCGGTTATCCCCTTTTCCTTACTGCCACTTTATGGTTCATTTTGTTCGGTCTATTTTTTCTGCTTCTCTGCATGTATGTTTGCTGCTGTAGGCGCAGGCTTTGTGGCTATCCAAAATTCTCTCATGCGTTGTCTATTTCTCTCTTTTTTCTATTCTCATCTGCTACACTGGGAGTATAATAATATCCTTCTTTCTCCCTTTTGTTTTGTTTTCTTTCCCAAATGTAAATTCAAGTTTTTATCCTTCAAACTCATTGCTATTGCATTTTTTTTTGTCCTTCCAGTTATGGTATTTCTGAAGTCTTCCCCAAAGATGAGGATTTTCACGAGAACGCGAAAAGTACACTAGACTTTGTTTTACAACAAGCGGACTCAACAATCGAAATCTTACAAAATGTGTCGGGTTATCTCACGGCTGCCAAGAATGTTGGCATCAGTCATGTTTTTCTGCCTCGACAGCTTCAAACCAACATTGATAATGTCAATGGTATGATTACAACTTCTGCCAACACACTTGAGAGTGCAACCAAAAAGAATAAAGACAATATATTCCGCTATTTGGATGCTGTGTAAGTTTATTGAGTTTCATTTTTTTTTTTCTTTTGGAAACAATATGGCTTTCTTAATAAAAATTTCTCAGTGTTTTATGTTGTTTGGTTAATATGATTTGCAGGAGGTTAGTTCTGGTTGTGGTATTGTCTGTAATGCTTTTCCTGGTTTACCTTGGACCCTGTAAGTCTTATGATTTTTCCAGTTGTGGATAGATTGGGGATAAGTTATCAGGCTGAAAAAATGTCAGTCTTTTGAAAAATTACAAATAGTCCCTTGAGAAATTACAAATACCCATTTTGATGTTACATAAGTTCTCTTTCTCCTTACAAAACCCCACTAGTTGCAAAATGTAAAAAACGCACATCAGTGGATTATTTGTTTTCTTATTTGTTTTCTTTTGCAAGTTAGGTATTGACTATCGAGAGTACTTAAAAGAAAAAATAGCTGCATAAATAGTTTTCTCTTATGATTCTGTGATAATTGTCATATTCTTTTGTTGCAGTTGTATCATTTATGGGCCCGGACTTTCTCATATACGTGTGAGTGCATTTTCTAAGGACAATATTGCCTTTACCTTTTGGCTTTCATCTTTTACTGGTCATCTTGCTTCTGGACATTTTGATTGATCGTGAAATTTTTTGCAGCTCGGTCTGCTTTGGTTGGAATCTCGTTGCCACCGCTTTCTTTCTGAGTGGCATATATCTCGTTCTCCACAAGTAAGTTCATGTTATTTATTTTTTCCCATCGATAGTCTAATTTAAGCACAATTCTTGTTTTATGTAAAAGTGCAATGGGAGACGCATGTGTGGCAATGCATGAGTGGGTCGATAATCCAACGGCTCACACGGCACTAGACCAGATCATCCCATGCTTGGACCATGCTACTTCCCAAGAAGCACATTTGCAGAGCAAAGTAGTCACGATCCAAATGGTCCATCTCGTAAACAGGATTATTGCTAATGTATCAAATCGTAATTTTCCTCCTAATGCCGGACCCCTTTACTACAATCAATCCGGGCCGTTGGTTCCCCTTCTCTGCAACCCATACAATCCCGACAGGACGGATAGGATGTGTGCAGCTGGTGAAGTCGATTTGAACTTTACTCAGGTAAAAATGTGTACAATAAGAATATATATATATAGGGGTTGGTTCAAATAAAAACTAGTCCTGGTTTGAGAAAATTGAGAACCATATTTGATGTTATTTTTAATTGTATATGATGTTATTTTTAACTAGTACAAATCCTAACGGGTAAGAGATATTCATTAATATTTATAAATTAAAATTTCTCATTAAATAATATTATAAATTAAAAACATGGAATCAATATGTAATACAATGTACCTATATTAATTTATTGAAAATATTATATAAAATATAAATTGTGCAAAATTAAAAAAATTTAAATCGTGCAAAATTACATAAAAATGTCTATTTAAAAATTAAAATTAGTACACAACCGGTGTGTTGCGTATAACTGATAATAAGTTACATTATATTCGTTTCAAAATATGTGTTATCTCAAAATTTTTATTAAGAAATTCGATTTGACAATAACGTTATTCCATAAAATAATCTTTATACCATATATTGATTAATTTATTTTCTATAGAAATAACCATCAATACCAAAAACAAATTCGTCCACTTTATACCATATATTAATTAATTCACATGATTTGAATAATTAAGGTATCTTAAAATATGGCTTAATTACTTCCTTAAATAATGAGTTGCAATTTCCACAAGTGATCATTTGATATATACCATAAATTATAAATTGTTAAATTAATTTCCCGAAATAGTAAATTGATTTTTTTTGGAGGGAAATAGTTACTATTTAAAAAAATAATCAAACCTTTTTATATAAATATAGATATATATAGATATCACATGGTGCTATCATTTTCACAATGCTAATACAAATTGTGTTGCTATTTTTAATAAAATACATTCATATTAAAAATAGCACTAAAACATAATCAATCGTACAATTAAAAATAACGGTTATCACGGTTCTCATGCCAACATTTAGTTCTCTTTTGAACCACGTTATATATATATATATATATATATATATATATATATATATATATATATATATATATATATATATATATATATATATATATATATATATATATATATATATATATATATATATATATATATATATATATATATATATATATATATATATATATATATATATATATATATATATATATATATATATATATATATATATATATATATATATATATATATATATATATATATATATATATATATATATATATATATATATATATATATATATATATATATATATATATATATATATATATATATATATATATATATATATATATATATATATATATATATATATATATATATATATATATATATATATATATATATATATATATATATATATATATATATATATATATATATATATATATATATATATATATATATATCCTGAGGTTCATTGCTTCAGTTCAAAGTACAAAAAAAACCTCCTTTACAAATTTGCTTTTCTGTCTACAAATGTAAAAATCTAAATTTGGGCCTGAACTCAAGAGGGGAGGAATTTTGAGAAGGCACACATTTCTAACTTGTAATCCCTCTTAAAAGCTATGCATTTACATAAATGCAGGTTTATAGCATTTACGAGTGTCGAGTCTCCGAAAACAACATCTGCACGACCGTGGGCCGCCTAACCCCTAGCTTGTACGACAAGGTGAGGTGGGCCGCGAACGTGAGCTATGGGCTGCACCATTACGGCCCGTTCTTGCGCGATTTGGCTGACTGGACATTTGTTCGGAACACATTAACCACTATTTACGACAGCCATTGCCCAGGTTTGAGTAGCAACAGCCAGTGGGTTTGCATTTATCTTGTTATTCTCTCGACTGGACTCTTTCTCTCGATGATAATTTGGGTGCCCTACGGTCAAGAGCTGCGGCGCGTGAAGCCCACGTCAGCTCAGGCATCCGATTAGAGGAAGGGGCCATGTGAGATTAAAGTTTGTGTGTAGTGAAGAAATTTGAATAAATTTGTCACTTGGATTTTTGCTTCTGTATGTAGTGTTGGGTGTGTAGATATTTATTTATTTATTATTATTATTATTATTTTAATTTTCCCTGTCTCTAGCATGTTTAAATTATTGGTATAGTCTGGGTAGTTGAGCTATAGTGATGGATTTTTGAATGGTTTGTGTATTTCAGACTTTGAGTGTGCTCTCTGTGTTTTGTAATTTAGGCCTTGTTCTTGGGATTTCAGGAGTCAGATAGTACTATTTGGATAGCATTATATAATTATTATTAACTAATTAAATATTACATAGTTTTGAATCAAACTTGTGCACATTTAAATTCAGCAATGTAAATTTCAATTACAAACTATTCTTATTCGAATTCTAATATCACAACTACAAATCAAGAATACCAAAATTTAAATCACCAATGGATTAATAAATTGATTCTATTGTTATCCTTCTATGAAGAACATGATATTTATATGTTTATTTATTTTTAAATAAATAATTATTAAGCATTGAAAACGTCCAAAGGGAAAAAAATAAAGTAAAATTATAGCCATTAGTAAATTCCAACTTCCCCATTTAAAAGATGTTTAAAATTCTTCAGCACTTAGACAGCTAGCCGTTACATGTACCATCATATCAAATTGCTTAGAAATGAAGAAATGCTCAAAATAGAAGACATAAATGAACAAAAAAATCGGAAAAATTTAATAAATAAATAGCTGAAACTAATACAATAAACCTTCCCTATTCCCACCAATCCCAAACGCGGTATCAACAAGCCTTTCTTTACCTGCTATATTATCCGCGTTTTGTACGTACGATCGATATATAGATACAGAGATGTATACCTCAAGTCCACAGTGAAAAAATCTCATTATTAGCTCTGCCCTCAAATTTCCACCTCCACCACTCACTCACAGAGGGAGCTCCAAAAGGGCCCAGATATTTTTTTTCTTCACATATTAGCCCCAGAAAGAAAAAAGTGATTAAATTCGCAAAAAAATCGAAGAATGTTGTGTTTCAAGAATAAAGTTTCTTCCTTTCTGATTCTGACAACGTTAATTCTTGTGTTCTTCTCGCTCTTTGCGTCGTCAGGTGAGTTCTCTCTGTTTTACATCCATTGGGTTGTTGTTCTCATACGAGTTCTTGTCTGCAAGTAATTCTTTTTTCTTTGTTCATTTTCTTTAAAAGAATTGTTGTGTTGAATCTTGATAGGCTTAGCAGGAGCGACCCAAAACGATGTCGTTCCAAGGGGAACTCAGAGGCCTGTCTCGGAAGGTTCGAACTCAAGTGATTTAGTGTTGGCTAGGGAAAGAACGCGCAGACAAGACCCACTCGAGAATCGCAGTTATTACAACGGGGGTTGGAATATCAGTAATGAACATTACATTTTTGTAAGTTTTCATTCTTCCCTGTATTCTTTTAAATTCTTGCACCCTTTGACATTTTTTCATGTAAATCGAGACATTTTGTGTTGGTGGAGTGAAATTTATGTTGTTTGTGATCTGGGATTCAAATGTTCACAATTTCTTAGTTTTTATCTTCAGCTGTGTTATTTTATTATCTTGTTCTGGCCTTGTGAGCTGTAGTTGAAATTTTGAAACAATGAACCGAGTTTGTGAGGTTGGCGAACAGAGTTATTTTAACATTAAGTTCATATGGGTTTATATTTTTATTGTATAATATATAGTTGACAATTATTCATGTGGATTCTGTTATGCCCTGTGATCTTTTGTTGGGCTAAAATTAAGGGGTCATCTTGCTGTTTTTTCACTTATTCTGAAATCCCTTATTTTTGGGCCAATTAAAGAAAGATTAATATTAAAAAAGTCATAATTTTCTTCAAGAGCAACCAAAAAGTCAATGTTATGTTACTGGTAAAAAAACTTGCTTTTAGAGGCCTGAGTGATTTTCTTCTTGATATTAGAGGAAAACTTGCACCCTGACATGGTTATTGCTATAGAAGAAGATAATTTTGAGATTATTGTTTTTTTTTAGTCTTTATCTCGGAGCTGATAAAACATATTATTTTCTGTGGCAAGTGATTTTCGATTCATTTCATAATTCGAATTCGGACGGTGATTTTTTTTTTCCTTATGTCCTTTTCTTTTCTTTCTCTCTGTCTCTCTTTCTTTTGGATGTAGCAAAGTGTTAGAACTGCAGCCTTTGTATGATACTTCACATTTAAACCTAACATGATCATTTTCATGGGGAGGGTCTTGCTTTGTCTCTGATGTGAAAATTTTTTTGGCTTCCAAAATCAATTATTTTATCATTGTCTAACATTTTCTGTTTTTTCAATGCAGTCTGTGTTTTACACCGGCTATCCCCTTTTCCTCACTGCTACTTTATGGTTCATTTTGTTTGGTATATTCTTGCTGCTTGCCTGCATGTACGTTTGCTGCTGTAGGCGCAGGCGCTATGGCTATTCAAAATTTGCTTATGCGTTGTCTCTTATCTTTCTCTCTCTATTCACAATTGCTGCAATGTAAGTAATAATACTATCCTTCTTTTTCCCTTTTGTTTTCTTTCCTTTCCAAAATGTATATTCAAGTTTTTGTCCTTCAAACTCATTGCTATTGCATTTTTTTTCTTTTTTTGGGTTCTTCCAGAATTGGTTCTGCTGTACTCTACACCGGGCAAGGGAAGTTTCACGAGAGCACGAAAAGTACACTAGACTTTGTTTTACAACAAGCTGACTCAACAGTCGAAAACCTACAAAATGTGTCAGGTTATCTCACGGCTGCTAAGAATGTTCGAGTCAATCATGTTTTTCTGCCTCGACAGGTTCAAACGAACATTGATAATGTCAATGGTATGATTACAACTGCTGCCAACACACTTGAGAGTGCAACCAAGAATAATAAAGATGATATATTCCGCTATTTGGATGCTGTGTAGGTTTATTTAGTTTCATTTTTTGTTTTTGGAAATGATTTTGTTTTAATAACAAAATTTTCTCAGTGTTTTATGTTGTTTGGTTACTATTATTTGCAGAAGCTTAGTTCTTATTGTGGTAGCTGCTGTAATGCTTGGCCTGGATTTACTTGGATTCTGTAAGTCTTATGTTTTTTCCAGTTGTGGATAGGAGTTGGGGATAAGTTATCAGGATTGAAAAAATGTCGTCTTTTGAAAATTACAAATAGTCCCATTTTGATGTTACATAAGTTTTCCTTCTCCTCCCTACGAAATCCCAATAGTTGCAAAATGTAAAACACACATCAGTGGATTATTTGTAACCGAGAACGATAGTTTACATTTTTTCTTTTCCCTTGAAAGTCTGGTATCGACTATCCAGAGTAATACTCACAATGATAGTCTACATTTTTTCTTTCTTCGTGCAGTGCTATCAATCACGGGCCTGCAGTTTCTCGTATACTTGTAAGTGCATTTCTAAGGACAATATTTCCTTACCTTTTGGCTTTCATATTGATCGTGAAAAATCGTGTGATACTGTTTTTGCAGCTTGGTCTTCTTCGGTTGGATTCTCGTCGCCATCACTTTCTTTCTGTGCGGCATATTTCTCGTTCTCCACAAGTAAAGAGTTTTCTACACGATCATGTTATTTATTTTTTTTTCCCATCGACAGTCTCTAATTTAAGCACAATTCTCGTTTTTTTATGTAAAAAAAAGTGCAACGGGAGACACATGCGTTGCAATGCACGAGTGGGTCGATAATCCAACGGCTCACACAGCACTCGACCGTATAATCCCTTGCGTGGACCCCACCACTTCCCAAGAAGCTCGTTCGCAAAGCAAAGAAGTCACAATCCAAATGGTCCAGCTCGTAAACGGGATTATTACTAATGTATCAAACCGTAATTTCCCTCCTAATTCCGGGCCCCTTTACTACAATCAATCTGGGCCATTAGTTCCTCTCCTCTGCAATCCATACAATCTCTGTCCAGCTGGCGAAGTTGACTTGAACAACGCAACTCAGGTAAAAATGGGACCTTTTTGTAATTAGACTGAACCTGGGGGGGCTTTTTGAAAAGATATGCATTTTTAGTTTTTTTTACATAAATGCAGGTTTATAGAAATTACGAGTGTCGAGTCTCTCAAAGCAACATCTGCACGACTGTGGGCCGGTTAACTCCTAGCTTGTATGACGAAGTGGGCCGGGCTTTGAATGTGAGCTATGGGCTGTACCATTACGGCCCGTTTTTGAGCGATCTGGCTGACTGTACGTTTGTTCGGGACACGTTTACTGCTATTTACGAACGTCATTGCCCAGGTTTGAGAAGATACAGCCAGTGGGTTTACATTGGTCTTGTTATGGTCTCGACTGCAGTTTTGCTATCGTTGATATTTTGGGTGGTCTATGCTCGAGAGAGGCGGCATAGGAAGTACACGAAGCTCGTGGATGGCCACGTCAGCTCTGGCGTCAGATGAGAGGAAGAGGGGCCATGAGAGATTTTAAGATTTGTCTGCTGTGAAAGAAAAAATTTGAATACAATTTGTCTTTTGGGTTTTTGATTCTGTATATGGTGTTGGGTGTGTTAGCAGAT